AGTCCTCCAAAGCTTTGCCAGAGACTTCAGTGATACTGAGCTGATACTGAATGTGGGGTTGCACATCAGCACTACTGCAGCAGTCACTGGAACAAGTTGTGCCACATTCAGAGCAGCCCTGCTAATACTTCTCTCTCAAAGAAAACTGTATGGCATGATTTCAGGATCGTTTCCTAGCATGATGCTTTACAGTCTCCCCAGCATCATTATTCTCTTCCAGGGCTATTCACTCGATCGTTTTATAATTTCCAGTTGCATGTCTTAGCCTCTCATCAGGTCCTTATCCTTACTGGGAAAAAGGCAGCTGGCCACAGACTAATAAACAGTATATGCAAGACTAAGTATTTTATATATATACATATATGTAATATACATATAATCAATATATATATTTTATATATACATATGTATATATGTAATATACATGTAATCAATATATGTATTTTTATATGTATATGTATATACAGAGAGCTCAATATATGCAAGAGTAAGGATTTTTGACTTTTTTCTCCCTTTATTACTTTACAGTCCTTTAAGGTCATTATTACCCAATGCAGTAGAGACAAAGCAACAGAATGCAAACAAATCAAACCTGTACTGAACAGATAGAAAAGGGAAAGTGTTTCCATAGCCTCATTTCTGATGCAAGTTGCTTTGCTTTTCTACCATGCTATTTCACCCACCTACAACCAGTCTTTCTACTACAGAAGACAACGATCGGCACCTAGCAACTTCTCCTTTACAAGCACAACCTTCTAGAACAGTACCCTGCAGTGTGCAGTCTGTGAACTCACAATTATTCCAGGAGAAGCTCATTCTACCTTCTGGGAGGATGAACACACTAGCTCACAGCTGTTCTTACTTGTGTCATTGCTCTGCATCCTTTTTCATGCAGTAATTTACAGTGGCAGTAGGATGATACAACTCACAAGCTCAGTAAGCATTACCCAAAATGGAGAAAACCCCAACTGTCTTTTGACGAGTACATCAGAAAGAATAAAAAATTGAGGAAAGTTACCATCTCTCACTAATGAAAACAAAATGGCTTCTTGTTACAACTAGTACAGGGAAACTTCTAAAATAGAAATCTCACCTAGCTGCTAAAAAAGCATGAGGATGGTCCCCTACGAACTGCACAGGGTAAGGCCACATCCTCACTAAGGACACACAGCACACAATTTTTTTCTCTTTGGATGCTTACGGCTTACTATGCAGTCGGTTGAGAGTCATCAATGGTCTATTTGTACCTGCCCAAACCTCCTAACCTCTATATTTAACAACTTGAGTTTCCAAGAATCAGTACTGAGGATGATGACACTGCTGCTCAAAGGGGCAAGAACTGAAACGTGCACGAACTGAAACGTGCACACAAGAGAAATTCTGTTATTTTACAGCGTTAACTATAATGTTAACCTGCTACTAAAACCAGAAGCATTAGAGTTCTTTAGCTGCAGACTTTAGAAGACAGCTATTTCTCAGGTTTCAGTATCTTCCAGAATAGGAAGGTCAGGAATGCTTGATTTTGAATTCTCCAGCAGCAGAGCTTTTGAAACGATGATAAGGAGTTCTAGAAAGCACTTGGCTCAATCCATAGCCCTAACCCATGGGGTATGACCTGTCATCAACCATGCCTTGAGGGTATTAATCTCAGGTGCAGTTTACAACTGGCAGGGTCTATCAGAAAGTCTCAGTATTGGTATAAAAAGTCAACACGAGGTCCTCCTGTTTGCTCACCCACCTACAACCTCCCAGATCTATGAGAGTGGACAGAACTTCTGGAAAGACTGTCCAATTCCAACAGCTGCCCTTCCTCTTAATGCACCAACTCTTTCTAACCACTTTTAAAATTGGATACCTCTCTTGTCTGTTACTTATACCACCTGGTCTGAATGCCCTCCATTACCAGCATTTCACTCCAGTCTCTTCCCATGTGGTTTTGTTGAGCTCTAATCAGAAATAAAGGAAACATTTACACATTGTAATAATCCTGATCCGGTCAGGGCAGATACAGGCAGGCAGGCAAGCTCTGATAGAGCTGATGCAGGCCCTGCTGCTAGGTTTCCACTCCCTGCAGGGAACAGCAGAGTATCCACGCTAATAGTCCAGACTGAACCGCAGTGGCACAGGTACGCAGCGGAACTCTGACAGTTTGGGTGGGGCCGGGAGCCGGCAGAGCAGCACCCCGAGGGGCAACATCGGGCCTGCCAGTGGAATACAGCCTACAGTAACGCTGGGAGCTGCTAAGTGCCATTTGTCTTGGATACCGGCAAGCATCGCGATAAGCTGAGGGAATCCACATGAGGTTTGTGCCCCTGAGCCCATCTGAAGGGTCGATTCGGCCTTCCTCCCCGATCCGCATCACTTGTGCTTCATACAGCGTTTCTGCCTGCAGCGAAACGTGCCCGAGGACATCCTGCGCGGCCCCGGCCGGGCACTGCCGGGGCTCTGTCCGACTCCTGGCGGCCCTGGCAGGCGGTGGCCGCTGTCCGGGAAGGCGCTGCGAGGGCACCTCTTTGTCTATCGCCCGCACCCGGCGCCCAGCGCTCCGGCGAAGCCCACTGCCCACTGCCACCGTTAAACAGCCACAGCTGGGACGGGTACGGAGGATGCTAAGGACCGCCGCGCCCCTCAGCAGGCGGAAGGGACGGAAGGAACCGCCGGGGCAGCGCGGCCGTGAGAAGGATCGGGCCCCACTGCCCCCCCCGAGATAATACCCGGCACCACCGCCTCCCCAACCCCGCGCCAGCTCGATCCTTACCGTGAGGGCGGTGCTGGGTGCCGGCTGCTGCCAGCGGGAGGGGCCCGGGGCGGGAGCGGGCGCTACGGGGGTCGGGCTGCTGCCGGGGCCATGGGGCGGGCAGGGAGAGGCCACGTGACCGGAATAAGCCGTGGGGCGCTACAAGGGGTATGGAGCCCGGCTCACGTGACCGTGGAGCTGGCCGTGGCGGCGCGTCCCCTGCAGTCACGTGGTACGGGCCCGCTCCCTCCCGCCTCCTCCGCTCTCACGTGACGGCCCCTCCCCCGTCGCCATGACAGTAGAGGCCGGAGGGGGGAGTGACGGTGCAGTAAACAGCGCCGCCACCGCACCTCCCCCCCCCCCCCCATCCTCCCCGCCGCTCCCGGCCCTCCCCGGCCCCCGCCGTCACCCGACCCCGCGGTACGCGGGACCCGCTCGTCCCCTGCCATCGGCCCGGTGCTCTGCTCCCAGGTCTGCGGTGCCGCCGCCACCGCGCTGCGGGGGAGGGGCCTCCCCTCGGCAACGGCCCGCGGCGGGAGGGGGTGCCGCGCGTCAGCGTCACGTGGCCAGGGCAGGCGGGCACGCGTGACGCAGCTTCCTCCTGCACGGGCGCGCTCGGTGTGACGCTCTCCCGAGCTGTCGCACGCTCCCGCCCCTCGCGCTCGTCACGTGCCGCTGTGCTTGGGGGCGGTGCCGCGGAGCAGGGGTGGCCGTGAGGTAGCGCGAGGAAGGAGGGGAGGGGGGGAAGTCGTGCCGCTTGTCTGTAGGCGTCTGTGGTCGGAGCCGTGTGCCTGCGGCCCCGCCCGGCCCCGGAGAGCTGCCGCTGCCTACTCCGTGATTTCCTGTGCTCTGGCTCCTGGCTGCCAGCGGCTTTGGCTCTCACGGTCGGGGCGTCTGGAGCGCTGGTGCGGGCGTTGCTTCGCAGCGGTGTGGCAGCCGAGAAGCGCTTGTTCCCTGGCGGCTGTGCTGCTTCGTCGCACCTCGCTGGCGGACCCTCGGGCGCTCGGTGTGCCGGGCTTTCCGCGGGCAGCTGTCTGAGGGCAGAGGGTGCTTTCGGGCTCTTACTCCGCGTGTCTGAGGGAAAGCAAGGAGGGTTTGTGGGTCTTCCTTCAGGTTGGCGGGCTGGTAGCGTGTGTTCAGGGGCGGGTCCGAAACCGAGGCGATTGCTGGCTCCGAGAGCGGAGTTCCAAGGAAGGATTTAGCATCTCGGTCTGGCTTTTTTTGGTTGAGCTTATTTGCCGCCGTTCTTGCGCCAGTGTGTAAAACAGGCACGGGGGTGACTTTCTGGACCAAATACTATAATCCGGAAAAATATTTGTTGTTTGTTGGGTTTTTTTTTTTGTCGTCGGAGGCGGTCTAGTCTTTACCTTGGGGGCGAAGCCGTTCTCAGATGGCATCATTTAAAATTTTAAGCGGTTTTGAGAATTTTGAAGAAATAGTTTTAGTCTCTGTAGCTGAATGTCTATCTTCCCTTTCCCTGGTGCCTGGTAAGAGTCAAAGTTCACTTTTCTTGTAAGGAAGTGTAAAGTTTCACATGGCAGTATTTCTGGGAGGAAGTTAATTAATGGTGCTGCATACGGAACGTTATTTAGAAATCCAAACGCTTGGATATGAAGTATATGAAGCTGAGTTTTTTTTAAGCAACATACAGGTCTAAACTTTAAAAAATCCTCAACAAGAGATTATTTTAAAGTATGTGCTCTTTAGGAAAAGTATATGAGGTTGCAACTTTGATAACAGAGTGAAAACCAAGAATTAAGTAGTTATTGATCTTCTATACTGGAAAAGAGGTGCTGTGGAAAGGATAGTTCATACATGTTTATGAGTAGTTGTATTAAAAATGCACAAATGCAGATAATCCTGAATTTGGTATCAATTGAGGATAATACTCCTTAAATTTGGTTTTGGGGAAGAAGATGATGTGGATATAAAATGCTAATGCTCAGTGTTTTCCTTGAGAAAATGAGTTTCAAATCAAGTGTGTGTGTTGTGGGGGGAAAGCCAAGGGTTTTTCCACAGGTAGACAGAATTTGTTTCACAGGTAGGTATAAATATATCTTAATAGCTGTGGTTTAAAGTATTTCCAAGGTTAGTGTCTGATAGGTTAAATTTTCTGAAATGAAGTTCAGCAAAAACTCCTCTCAAATGAAGGAGGAGTCTAATTTGTAGCCCTTGGCAAGACTGAAACCTGGTGTTCTGTGAAGAGGAAGACGTTTTGTGTGGTTTTTGGTTTGTTTGGATTTTTTTTTGTAACAAATGTTGAAAAATGGAGCTAATCAAGAACTGACTTTATTTATGGCAGGTATAGCTGAAAGCTGAAGCTGTAATACACCCATGAGCAAGTAGCACCAGTTGTGTACATCAATGGCTTCTGCGCCAGTAATTCCAGACTCTTACAACCATGTTTTGGCAGAGCTTGAATGTTTGGATCCATTGCTTTCTGCACTCAGGCTGGATTCTGGTCGTCTGAAGGTGAGTTTGTGGTGGGTGAGCTTTTTGGGGTGTGTGTGTTCCTGTTGTTTTGTTTTTTTTTTCCTTAATTCAAATAATAACCTTATTTGGTTTATTATCTCATTAACCTACAGAACGATATAACCTTTAAGGTGCCTGCCAACCCAAACCATTCTGTAGTTCTGTGAATCATCTTGTTCTTTTTGTGTGTTGCTAGCTTATGGAGGGAAAACTTTGGGAACAAGTGAAGGCAAAGGGTCTGTGTGGTGTTTTCTTAATGAAACTGTGGATAATAGAGCTTTACACAGTTGGTGCCTTATACCTTTTGCTGTAATAGTAGAGTGTGTTGTTTTAATATCTGACTTCTGCCAGTGTTTCAAGAGTGGTACACCACTGGCAAACAATGAAGCCTTTAAAAATAACATAAAAATGCAAGCGAAAGATACTGTTATTAGTACTTACAAGCAGACATGTTATGCATTATGTTTTTTATTCCTTCAGTGCACGTGTATAGATGTGTCAAAGAGATGGCTAGCTCTGGGCAGTTCAGGAGGAGGACTGAACCTTATACAGAAAGATGTCTGGAAGCAAAGACTTTTTCTCGCTCATAAGGTAAGGGTAAAGAATTCTGTAAAAAAATTTCTGGGAAAATGGGACTGGGAAAGAGACACTGTTTCAAGTTAATTTTTATTAAGAGTCGGCAGGTGTTTTCTGCTTGCTGAATTGTCCCCATAAGGTGACGTTTTGGACTGCTCCATTTAAGAAAGTTTGTGGCATTGGAGTACATCCCGAGAGCACGTGAGGTAATAGATTTCATGAGGTGTGAAAGAAATTACTTGAGAGGGTCAGATCTTTGTTTTTCAAATTCTTACTTTTAACAGCAGCAACCAAGTTGCCTAAATATTTAAACCAGAGCAAGTCACCTGTAGATAATGAACAATGTTTGGATGTCCAAACTATGAACTACTTGTGTAAGCAAAGGAAGAATAGGCTGTCTTTTAAGGTTGGGAACATCTCACTTTTACTTCTGGCAAAACGACTTCCATAGGTGTGAGGACAGGAGACAGATTTCTGTGTTTTCCAAATTGGAGCATGAACTGCAGTCATTTCTTTTGATGATGATGGCTCCCTCTTTCTAGAGCAAGCTCAGTGTTTGCAAACAAACCCCAAACTGCATCGCAACAAAGTGGTAGCAGCTGTTGACATGAGTCTGTTTTATGTCTTAAAGATGAAAGTTGCCTAGTGGTAGAAGCAGTGTAAGAAAAACTTCCACCTGCACTTACTCCAGTACTTGCTTTCAGGAGGGTGCAGTTTCCCGGGTTGCCTGTTGTTTGCATGATGAAGACTATGTTGCTGTTGCCACCAGGTGAGTGATGTACTAGCAAACCTGAATGCTAGATAAATATTTTGAAGTAGCTTCTAAGTTGCACATCTGCTGAGAACTTGGAGGTGGGCAGAGGTGGTAGAAGCCCCTACAGAATAATTCTCCACACAGACAGTTTATTTAACTTTCTTTTCTGGAGTAATGGAATAATTGTTCCAGAGTAAGTATTTTTTCTGTAACAACATCGGTGGGTGAGCTAATGCATTTCAAGTTATGATGATAAATTGCTCTTTTAGACTTTTCAGCATCAAAAGAAGTATCTCTCTAGACATATCAAGGATGAGGGGGACATTAAGAGCAGCCAACATGGCTTTTCCAAGGGGAAGTCATGTTTGACCAACCTTATAACCTTCTATGAGCAAGTAACTAGGTGGATGGATGATGGTAGAGCAGTAGATGTGGTTTTTCTTGATTTCAGTAAGGCATTTGATACGGTCTCCCACAGCATCCTCATCGATAAGCTAAGGAAGTGTGGGCTTGATGATCAGGTAGTGAGGTGGATCAAGAACTGATTGGAAGGAAGAAGGCAGAGAGTTGTGGTCACTGGGGCAGAATCTAGCTGGAGGTCTGTGACTAGTGGAGTCCCTCAGGGGTCGGTGCTGGGACCAGTGCTGTTTAATATTTTCATCAACGACCTGGATGAGGGAACTGAGTGTACCCTTAGTAAGTTTGCTGACGATACTAAACTGGGAGGAGTGGCTGACACACCAGAGGGCTGTGTTGCCATTCAGCAAGACCTGGACAGCTTGGAGAGTTGGGCGGAGAGGAACTTGATGAAATTCAACAAGGGCAAGTGTAGAGTCTTGCATCTGGGCAGGAACAACCCCATGTACCCGTACAGGTTGGGGGCTGACCTGCTGGACAGTAGCGAAGGGGAAAGGGACCTGGGGGTCCTGGTGGATAGGAGGATGACCATGAGCCAGCAATGTGCCCTTGTGGCCAAGAAGGCCAGTGGCATCCTAGGGTGCATTAGAAAGGGTGTGGGTAGTAGGTCAAGAGAGGTTCTCCTCCCCCTCTACTCTGCCTTGGTGAGGCCGCATCTGGAATATTGTGTCCAGTTCTGGGCCCCTCAGTTCAAGAAGGACAGGGAATTGCTTGAAAGAGTCCAGCGCAGAGCCACAAAGATGATTAAGGGAATGGCACATCTCCCTTATGAGGAGAGGCTGAGGGAGCTGGGTCTCTTTAGCTCAGAGAAGAGGAGACTGAGGGGTGACCTCAGCAATGTTTACAAATATGTAAAGGGTGAGTGTCAGGATGATGGAGCTAGGTTTTTTTCAGTGATGTCCAGTGATAGGACAAGGGGCAGTGGGTGTAAACTGGAGCATAGGAGGTTCCATGTGAACATCAGGAAAAATTTCTTTACTGTGAGAGTGACAGATCACAGGAACAGGTTGCCCAGGGGGGTTGCGGAGTCTCCTACATTGGAGATATTCAAGGCCTGCCTGGACAAGTTCCTGTGTGATGTACTCTAGGTTACCCTGCTCTTGCAGGAGGGTTGGACTAGATGATTTTTTGAGGTCCTTTCCAACCCTTAGGATTCTGTGATGTTGATTAACTTGTCAGAATGAGATTGGTAGTTAATACTTCTTACATTGTTTAAAATCCATATGAATGCTTATTTTTCTGCATCGTCACTGGCAGTTCCAGTGAATGTTAAAGTAACCTTCCAAAGAAGGCTGCTGATGCACTGTGATGCAAGGAAGGACACTTACTCTTCTTGAGAATTAAGAATGTGACAGTTCTTGAAAGCGTGCAGCCTCAAATGCAACCAGCTCCGAGATGTTCTGTTTCCCTTAGATTTTCTGTTTCTTTGGAATAATGTGTCTTCATCACTGATAAAACTTTAGAAGATTAAGTCTCAGTTTGTATTTTCTTTTCTAATTGTTGTAGCCAAGGTCTTGTAGTAGTCTGGGAGCTGAATCAGGAGCGTCGTGGGAAGCCAGAACGGATTTATGTTTCCTCTGAGCACAAGGGCAGAAAAGTCACAGCTCTGCGTTGGGATACAGCTGCTCTTCGTGTTTTTGTAGGAGATCATGTGGGAAAAGTATCAGCCATCAAGGTTAACACATCAAAACAAGGGAAGGTAAAATGTCTCATACTTTGCTTGAGAGGATGAGGTTCACAGGGGATGATGTGTGGAATTTTTTTGTTTATTTTAGTAAAGCAGAACAAAGGAACACTTGCCAGCTCATGAAGTTCTGGTAGCTTTGACTGTTGAGCTGAAGATTCAGTCTCTTGAGACATCTATAGTAATCCTGACCTATGAACTTTCTCACCTTCTCTTTTAGCTATTTTAATAATGCAACATAAAAATACTTTTAAATGTGCAGAATTAAAATCTGGCAGAGCTTCTTTCTCTTGGAATTTACAAGTATACAAGTTCAGAGTCTTGGTGTTTCTGAGCCTGCTGGATTCCTTAGACTCCAGCTACAGGTTCAGCTCACCTGTTGGTCTGAGAAAGGGGAATACCAGTCTGTAGTTTTGCTTGTCTCTTTCTGGATACTCTTGTTCTTAAACATGCAGATTAGTTAAAAGGTGAATGTCAAGCTTACATACATTGCGTCTTGTGCAAAGGACACATCTATTAGTGATACTAGCCTGATTTTAGCCTGAGTGTTCTTTGTTTTACCACTACTGGGTCCTTTCCCTTGACTTTTAATCTGTAAGAAGGAACACAGCTTGGAAGTAGGTGTGTTCCTCCAGGTCCTTTCTAGCCCTTGTGTCAAAATCTTTCATAAAGTTTCCTTAAAAGTTGCAAGACAACAGCATTTAAATAGGAGCAAAAAATTCAACTGCAGAAAAAGAAGGAAAAAGAGGGGAGAAGGGCACGGCTCACAGAATATGTGTCTGCTCTTGTCTGCTTAAGGACTTGGATTGTTGAATTTCTCATGTCACATACTTGGGCACTTTCCTAACAAATAAAACAGCTTTAAGCTGTCAAAATGGTGACTGCTAGAAAATGAGTGCAGTTCCCAGCAGATTCTTCTAAATAAGAAGTCTGCCTGTGACTTTGTTTCTGCCACCCATGCAAACTGAGGCACTAGTTTAATAAATAGCATTCAGGTAATTTGCTGCAGGGCATTAGGGAAAGTGAGTTAGTGTAAACCACTTAAATCCAGTGGAAGGTTTGTGGGGGTTTTTGTATCAAGTAATCACTCTTGTCTCCATAAAACTGTTTGCTGTTTGAAAGTACCTGTGGGAAGAATTACGAGAATTTGCAGAAGCACAAAGCTTACAAAAGCAAGAGTAAAACCTCTCTAAATGTTATAGAAAACACACTCTTTATAAAGAAACGTCAGGATTCTACGGGAAAATTATTTTTTTTGGTTTTTTTTTTAAACTTTCAGTAATAGTTTTGGGAAAAGGAGGCTGTAGATTTGTATGCCTTGAGCATTGAAGCTTTGTTTTGTAAAGAGAGAAAAAGGGAACTGCTGTCTTACGCTGCGTATGTATAGCATGTGTGAGTCTCTTCTTAATTTGGAACTTAATGAAATAATCTTTACTTTGAACTGAGGACCAGTACATTTTCTTTTTTCTAACTGTAGGCTGCTGCTACCTTTGTGATGTTTCCTGTTCAGATTATAACAACTGTAGATTCTCGGGTTGTTCAGCTTGATTATTTGGATGGACGACTGCTCATATCTTCACTTACACGCACTTATTTGTGTGATACTGAGAGGCAAGTTATATTTTACTTGTAAAATACTGGACTTGATAGAATCACACAGTTTCTGAAGTGACCTCATTAATCATCTAGAAATCATCTAGTCCAATTTTCTTGCTCATGGCACAGTTGGGTAGAATAGATAGATCTTGTAGGATTGTGTCTGGTTAGGTTTTCAGCGTCTCCAAGAATACAGGGATGCCACAGGATCTCTGGACAGCCTTTGCCAGTGGTTCACAACCCCCACAGTAACAGAGCTTTTTCTTATGTTGAAATGGAATCCTCTGTCTTTCCATTTGTGCCCGTTGCCTCTTGTCTTTTCACTGGGCACCACTGAGACTAGTCTGGCTCTGTCTTCTCTACTTCCCCATCAGGTATTTATACATGTGGGATCAGATGAGTTTCTACCCCGAGCTTTCCCTGTTTCAGGCTGACCAGCCCAGCTCTCTTAGCCTCTTTTAAGACAGGTGCTGCAATCCCTTTGTTGTTTTCGTGGCCCATCACTGGACTTACTCCAGTATGTCCCTGTGTTTGTTGTCCTGAGAAGCCTGGAACTGGACCCAGCGCTCCAGATACCTCACCAGTGCCAAGAAGAGGGGAAGATCATTTCCACTGACCTGCTGGCAACACTCTTCCTAATGCAGTCCAGATTGGCTGCCATTGCAAAAAGAGTGCACTGCTGACTTACGGTCAGCTGCTTGTTCACCCTGACCCCCAGGTCCTTTTCTACAAGCTGTTTTCCACCCAGGTGGCCTGTACTGATGCCTTGGGTTGTTCTTCCCTCTGTGCAGGGCATTGTGTTTATTAATGTCTGTTTGTCTAGCCTATGCTTCCTCAGCTTCTCTGTGAAGATGTTAGGGGCAGTGACAAAAGCCTTACTGAAGTCAAGCTAAACAACATCCACTGCTCTCTTCTCATCTATCAAGCCACTCATCATGTTGTAACATGATTTCCCCTTCATAAATCCATGCTAACCATACATAATCACAGTCTTATCTTTCATGTGATTGGAAACTGTTTCTCTTATCATTTGAACCATCACCTTCCCCATCACCAGGTTGACCAGCTGGTTCTGCTGTTAAAAAACCTTTTAATGATCTAAACATTTAGCCTAATGAATACTTCTGCATTTTTTGTCTTTCATAAACTTCATGCAGGCTTTATAATATCAATGGCAGATTATTTTGAGCACCAAAACCAAATCACCAACTTGGATTTAGTATTTTTATTCTTCAAGAAAAATATAAAATTAATTAGAGCCTTAATGAGTATTGGTTTGTTTTTGTTTTTTTTTTCACTAGAGAGAAGTTCTGGAAAATTGGTAATAAAGAGAGAGATGGAGAATTTGGAGCATGTTTCTTCCCTGGTGGAAAAAACAGTGGAAATCAGCAGCCATTAATATATTGTGCTCGACCTGGCTCAAGGATGTGGGAGGTGAACTTTGACGGGGAAGTGCAAAGCACACATCAGTTCAAGCAGCTGCTGTCATCACCGCCTCTCCCTGTTGTTTCTCTCAGGTAGAAACACAAGTGTTATCTGTGATACACTTGGTTGGGATTTCTAGACTAGCTGAGAAGAGCTGCATAAGGCTGAGAAAGTTAAATAAACGCCTAGTGCAGTCAAGTGTTAATCCTAGTAATCTTAATACACTCTCCTTTAATAATAGAAGCCAGTAGTTATCAAAAATGCTGAAACTTTGATTCTGCAGGTATGTCTGTGTAACTACCACAATGAATGCTGCTGTCATAAGGCTATGTTTATTTAGCCAGCCTTGTATTTGCAGGGTTAAGAATCTTAAGGAAGTGATATTACTGTAGTCGTAACACCATAATTTTGCTTTACAGGCTGGATCCTCATTATACTAGTTCCAGCTGCTCTCCACAGTCTTTACCTTTTCCCAGGCTACTGTATCTGAGGTGAGTATTTGTCAGCATAGATTCCTGTTGATAAAGCAGAGTTAAAAATAAAAAAAGTTGTTTATTCTCCTAATTTATACTGCCAAGTTCATCTTTTTGCATAGAATTTTCCAAGTGTCAATGCTGAACTGTCTCGCTTTTCACTTCCTGTACTTGAGCCACTGCCATCTGTGTGTGTTTTACAGTGACTTCCAGAATTAACTGTTGCACTATTAATGTTTGCTTTGCTTGCAGTGAGCACTGTGTGATGACCTGGACAGAAAGAGGCATTTATATTTTTCTTCCCCAAAGCGTTCAAGTCTTACTCTGGAGTGAAGTAAAAGGTAAACTCTAAGAATCTTTGCTTTGTAATATTGTCTGTTAAGTTTGTCACTTCTGAAGCCCTTGCCTATAATATAGCTTAATTTTTGTAGCTGGGTTGTAGAACATTGATCAGAGAACTTTTTTGTTGTCATTTTTCAGATATATCCTTGAATATTAACCCTTTCAATTCCTTTGCTAGTCAGCCCCTCCGTCCATACTTACGAAAATATGCTTGGGAAACAAAACATGGTGTAGAGTGCATCTTAAAATACAGTAATCAAATAGTGAGAGGTGGTAACCTGCAATATCCTTTCCTTGTTTGTGTTTATTCAGATTGTCCTGCTTTCAGTTGGGTTAGAGTTAATTTTCATCCTAGTAGCTGTGCAGTGCTGTAGTTTCAATTTTGTGGAGGACAATGCTGATAAAACACATTTTAGTTGTTGCTGAGTTGCACTTACCCTGATCAAGGACTTTTCAGTCTCAATGGTCTGCCAGTGAGGAGTGGAACAAGAAGTGGGAGGGAGAAGAGACAGGACACCTGACCCAAACTAGCCAAAGGGGTATTCCATACCACAGCACATCATGCCTAGTATATAAACTGGGGGGAGTTACCTGGAAGGGCCAGATCACTGCTCTGGTTGGGCTGGGTATCAGTTGCCAGGTGGTGAGCAATTGTGTTGTGCATCACTGCTGCTTATTGGTTTATTTTTTTTTCCCTTTCCCCTTTTAGTTTAATATTTTTTCCTTGTTATTTCCCTTATTATTACTACTGCTAGTAGTAGTATTACATTGTACTTCAGTTACTGGACTGTTTTTATCTCAACCTGTGGGGGTTGCATTCTTTCAGCTCTCCTCCCCATTCTGTCCAGGGCAGGGGGCAGGGTGAGCGAGTGGCTGCGTGGTTCTTAGTTACCAGCTGGGCTTAAACCATCACAAAGGTTTATTGTCAGGTATCCTGTGAAGGATAATCTGGCTGCTGAAAGCTTAAACACTTTTTTTTTTCTAACACCTGTCTAAACGAGTGCCAGAGAATGTACTTATTTGGCAGATGAGTTAACCCTCAAAAATGGTTTTGTGTGTACTAGTATAGACATAGTCCTAGAATGGTTTGTTATTGTCCATCAGTCTTTTCCTTTCCCTTCTCCAGTCCATTTGGTGTTAAGTTTCCAATGCCCGTTGTCATGGAACATTTGCATATAACATAACTATTTCATTTGGAAACTGCTGAAAGTTCAAAGCATTTTTCTACTAGCAGATGTTTTCCTTCCATTTCAAAGCTAACAATGATGTATTTCTCATCTTCATCAGTCTTGAGTTTTTCGTCCTCCTTCAGAGGAGAAGGGAGCTTTTCAGTAACTCAAGTGTGCTTTTTGAATGTTTTCTAGAAATGCTTTCTAGAAATGCATCTCTGGAAAGCTTTGATACTTTGACTGTGCTGTGTAGTCATTAGATGCTAGCTTAGCATTCTTCAATGTTTGTTTTCTCCATGCCACTTATGCTACAGTGTATTAGGCTTTTGTACACTTTTACAGTCAGATAGGAAATACCTTTCCACCTTCTTTCAGGAACAGAAAGGAATATTGACTCATGATTTCAGTCCTTTAGATATTTCTGTGCATCTGGTTTTGCAGATATTCAGGATATTGCAGTTTACAAAAGTGAGTTGTTCTGTCTGCATACAAATGGAAAAGTTGTTCATCTCTCCCTTCTGCTGGTAGACCGCTGCATAGAGCGTCTGATGAGAAGAGGGTTCTGGACCCTTGCTGCCAGGGTCTGTTGCCTTTTCCAAAATGCAGTTATTTCTTGCAGAGTAAGTAAATACCTCTTTGTAAATGTGCAGCGCCATTTCACTCTGTTTCTTGCCCCCATTTTCCTTGGAGTTCCATAGGGTTTTGAGATTTTTTTGGGGGGGGGTGTTTAAAAAGTATTCCAAGCATTCTAGTTTTCAGATGAAAATTAGCCTGCATGTATGGTACTTTTTTGCTTTTCACATGTACTTTAGAAATAATAACGCTTCTATTTCACTGTGTACTTTTAGGCAAGAAAAAATTTGCCTTTAGACAGGCTGGAGCACTTAAAGTCTCAGCTGGATGCCTCAACCCAACAAGATCTTACTCTGCAACTGGAAGAATTGATTTCAAAGTTGGAACCTCTAGATTCTGCAGGCAGCAGTAGAAGGAGTAGTATTTCATCTCATGTATGTATATAGGTCGTGCCAAATACATTACCTGTAGATCTTATCTTTATGGCTTAAAATCACTTTGAAGTTGAGGCTTTCATTTTTACCATATCTACTACAGTTGATAATGCTATTTTCTAGAATTAGGTGAGGTAGAGAGGTATGAAATACTACTGCTTGCATTCTTTAAGCTTTCAGATCACTGCCTTTTTTCCATGTTATTTTGTAGCTAATGGTTGAGATATAGACAAAGATTGATCAAAGAAGGCTTTCTCCTCAGCTGAGGTTAATATCCTAACATGCTTCATTTAAGGTCATCTTGACTAAAACTGTAGTTTTCTGTGGTGAAAACTGAGTGTCTGAATGGACAGAACAATCCTAGTCCTATGAAGCTTAAGCAGAAAACACTAAGGAAAAAAATCATAGAATAGAATCATAGAATAGTTAGGGTTGGAAAGAACCTTAAGATCATCAAGTTCCAACGCCCCTGCCATGGGCAGGGACACCTCACACTAAATCATGTCACCCAAGGCTCTGTCCAGCCTGGCCTTGAACACCACCAGGGATGGAGCATTCACAACTTCCCTGGGCAGCCCATTCCAGTACCTCACCACCCTAACAGGAAAGAACTTCTTCCTTATATCCAATCTAAACTTCCCCTGTTTAAGTTTTAACCTGTTACCCCTTGTCCTATCACTGCAGTCCCTAATGAAGAGTCCCTCCCCAGCATCTTTATAGGCCCCCTTCAGATACTGGAATCAAAGCATATTTCTAATATTCTTTTACATGTACAGCTGTTTGTGCTTTGTCTTAGCTTCTCAGCAGCTTTTCAAGAAAAGGGAAATATTTCATAGTTAATACAGTATCAGCTGCTGCTTTCACTTTAACAGTGAAAAGTTAACTTTAAAAAGTAAAGTTAAAATACCCAAAGTAACATAAATTCTATTTTGATGTGGTAGACAGGGTTTGGGTTTTTTTTTTCATTAGCAGATGTGAAAAGTAAACCTCATAAACTTATGAGCAAAAGAATGTATGTGTGTCCTGGAACTAAAGTTTAGCAGGATCTGTAAGTGTGCTAGCTGGGTATGATTAACAAGCAAAAAGGAATATGGACTCTTGGATGCACAGGTGCAAAGGGATAAAGTGACAATCTTGCATGCAGGACTAAAGGAGAGATGATTTTGCCTTGTACCAAGTACATCAGTTGCTCACAGGCTTCTTCCTGAAAGCAGTTGCAGCATATGCATCTTTAAGTCACTGGGCTGCACACTTAGTGCCACTTATGTACTTTTCCAATCTGCATATGTCAAAAATATGCTGTTATATAGGACTTTTCCAGACAGTGAATTGTGAAGTGCTGTGAGGTTATTTGTGTGGGTATGGTTGGTTTAGTTCATTGCAAGAAGTTTAACAAGGAAGTACAACTCTTACAACATCTAACTCCTCTCCCTTGTCTAACAGGAAAGTTTCAGTGTCTTAGACTCTGGAATATATCGTGTTATCAGCCGAAGAGGCAGTCAGTCAGATGAAGATTCAAATTCTCTCCACAGTCAAACATTCTCAGAAGATGAGAGACTTAAAGAATTTCCTGCACACCAGGAAGATGAGCAAGTAGAACTTGGTAATGTTTCTTAATGAAAATAATGTTATTTGGATGCAATTTCTGTTTAGTTTATAATTATTTGATTGGGTTGGCTCTATATTCTTACTTTCCATTATTGTGATATCCATGATTTAAATTCTCTAATTTGATCAATGGGAACAGTCACCCCACCTTTCAGTCAAATTCTTTCTTGAAACATTGGGGTGAAATGCTAGCTCCACAGAAATCATAAGCTTAAAAAGAAACAAAACCCAGAGAAACAAGACAAAAAGATCCAGAGGGCTTTTACCAAGCTGGGACTTCACTCAAATTCCACCTTCCCAATCCCTCAATGTGCAATTTAGCATTAATGCCAAGAGTCTCTCAGCAGACTATGTCAGTGTTAATTGAGCTTTGAATGAGGTTTGTTTTTGTTTTTTTTTTGCTGTTGTCCTTACAGTAATATTTGTACCAGGAAAGAATTGCTTAATTTTGGCTCTGACTTTATATTTCTTCAGGGAAACCAGTAGGTTTACTGTGTTCTTAACTTCAAGGTTTCCTTTGCACGGGGGACTATCTCTTTCATGTTTAGAAGGGATTATAGAATGTTAATAACTAACACTTAGACCATCCAGGGAGCTCCACCTAACAAATATCTGTTGCTGGACAAAAGCTAAATGGACAGCAGTGGTCTTGTTCTCTGCTGTGGTTGGGATTGGGAGGGGATGCAGAAACCTGGCATGATGAGGAGCTGGCTTAGTTCCAGGTATGCTAGAAAGGCTTTCCAATAAAAAGGCTCCTTTTTAGCTTCTGCAGAGAGTAGATGCCAGTTGAAGATGGAGAGAATTTTGGATGCTTTTTCAGGGAAAACTGCACTGGGGAGGGAGAGCATAAAGATTAGTATTTACTTCCCTATTTGTCAGTAGTGTTGTCCTGCTGACTAAGCTGCATGCTGTTCGTAGCACTTGCTTTTACATGTGTGTCTTTACTTGTATCACAAACTTGGAAGGGTGTGTTTAATTTCCAGTATTGAAACTAAAATGAAGGGATGCAGTTTTTGAATCTCAAAAGATAGAAAAGTTCTATCTGCTCAAGAAGAGACAACAAATTTACTGATTATTTCAAAGCATAGAAGTTCTAGATGCTTCTTGAAGCATGTATACTTAAAGAGGGGAAGTTTAGATTGGATATAAGGAAGAAATTCTTTACTGTTAAGGGTGGTGAGGCACTAGAATGGGTTGCCTAGGGAAGTTGTGAATGCTCCATCCCTGGCAGTATTCAAGGCCAGGCTGGGCAGAGCCTTGAGTGGCATGGTTTAGTGTGAGGTGTCCCTGCCCATGGCAGGGGGTTGGAACTAGATGATTTTAAGGTCCTTTCCAGTCCTAACTATTCTATGATTCTATTTGAGAAAATGGATTTAGTCTTTCCCTGCTCACATTTACGTAAGATGTCATAAGTTTTTACATTTCTAATATGTGTAATGAACAAAAGCAGCCTTATTTACAAGCAATCATATAATCACTTGTGACCTTTAGGCACTATCTAGATGCTGTGGATTCTCATGGTAGAATTTCTGTAACTACAGAGCGTCTTTTCCTCTCAACAATGCAGGCAGTGCTGACTGTTGCAAAATGCAGTGTCATCCTTACTTAAAAGGATCCTTTTTTTTCTTTTTTACATCACTTAAAGATACAGTGTGTATGTTTGTACCAGGAAATGATTACTCAAAAAACATTGTAGATACTGCCAGGGATATAAGAGAGAAAAGGCAATAGTCGGTGATTCTGTATTTCCTGTGGTTCGTATCAAATGCCAGAGAGCTATGGGCTTAATTATATCTTTAAGTCTGCCCAGATAAAAGGGTGATTTATATCTTAACCATGGCTTTTATGTCTCTGTGTGCTCATATGTGATTTAGATTTTAGGAAACCATGCATTGTAAATTTATGTATGCCATAATACTGCATTTTCCTAGATATTTAAATAGCTGGCAGTAGATTAAATTAAGATTTTTGTCCCCTAAATGAACTGTAAATCTAGTTGTAGAAGATCATTTTCATACAGTTGTTGATCATAATTTGCCTTGTTACAGAGCCAAAAGACTGTTAACAAAGCAGACTTACTAGGTCCAAAGTCAGTAATAAAATGGCTCTTGAAACCAAGTAGCACTTTTCTGGTTCCACACATTCCTGAGTATTAAAGAGGAAAATATCTCATGCAGGTTATCCATTTATGAATTAGTGACTTGCAGTTAGTTTCACTGTTCCATTTTTGTCAGGTCACTGTTTCATGACTCTTTATTTCAATTCCATTTGTTAGACAACGTATCTCATACATCTGTGACGGTTGAAGCTGACCGGAATGAGACATTTCTTCCATTCAGTATTCCTTTGTCATTTCGTTCCCCATCTCCTCTCGTCTCTCTCCAAGCTGTCAAAGAAAGGTAAAACATGCAGCAGGTTCACCCGTCCATTACATCTTTCCCTTTTCTGTCCTCTGAATTTGTAGCCTTTTCTGGTTTAGTTCATGCTATGTTCTGCAAAAACGTAACATGTGAACTGAAACACTGGAGATGCAGTCAAGTTTGCTAGGCTATTTAGAGCTTCTCAAATGAAGTTAGAACTGCTGTTAACTTCAGTGGAGCCAAGATTTCAACCTCTGCTTTGAAATGGCTAAGAATGCTTAAATGACTGAGAATGTTTAACACTGCCTTGTGAACTGTGGTTGTGATTTGTCTTTAAAGCAAACTTACTGAATATTGGTTTGGGATTTTGCTTTTCTGGTACTTTAGATTTCTTACAAATGAGTGAAGGCTTCTGATGTTGTTTAGGGACAAACATTAAAATATTCAAAGCATGCTAGATAGTGCTAAAACACAGCTGCAAATTATACCGCATGGTCTGCTATCTCCCCATATGCACCTTTCAGTGAATCTAAGCAATTTCCCAAGTGTTTATGGAATAATGGTAGCTTATGCCCAGTGCAAGTAAATATGGTAATGTCTATTCTATGAGAAATCAAATTGCTGCTCTAAAACCTGCTTTAAAAAACAGGGACACACACACACACACACACGTAAAGGAGATGGTGTTAAAAACCTAAAAAATTGAAAAAAACTATGTATGTTAGCTTCTGAGGTAAAATGTTGCTGGCCCGTAATGGTGGTGTGAGAAGTTGCATAGCCCTCCCTTAATAACTTAGGTATGTGAATATGTCCTGCAACAGAAGACTGTAGCTGCTATCAATTGTATAAGGATCTCAGAATAACCTTGTTTTGAATGTTTTGAATTCCTTTTAAACTGTAAGCAAATTTTAGGACTTTACCAGTAATAAGTGTTTCTGTTAATAATAACTAAGTATTCAAGTATTTACTGTATTCAATTTATAATTAAATACATTACTATCACACTTAAAATTGATTTTTAAGTTTACCTTTAATCCTTATATACATTAAAGTCCAATTGTTTTGTGCTCTCTTCTGCAGCAGCCTTCATCCGTTGCTATACTTGGTGTAGTAAAAGATGCCATATGCTCTGGCAAGCAAGTAAATGGTTGCTTTTTTCTTGATGCTCTGAAACTAGTTCTTGGCCAGAAAGCAAGAAGCTGATTTTTATGATCAACTGTGGATGATATAGTTCCTTTCATGGCAGTGGTAGAAATAATTGGGTTTTGGTATGTTCACTGGGCTTCCTCTTGAATAAAATGCTCACTGGACTTCCTCTTGGATAAAATATCTGAAGGGGTAGGGACTGATGACATGACAAGGACATTTATAGTGAGCTTTATAATCTGAAGAATTAATTTGGAGTACTGTAAAACTGTTTCTTACCCCCAAGAGGGACATAATTTCCTAATGATGCTTTATAAGCTTTAAAATGCAATGTGGCTAACCTGCATTTATTTGCATTTATTTGCATTTAAATACATGTCCTGCTATAAGCACTAATGTTAATATGCTGTTTCTCCAGCAGCAAAAAAATCCAAGTCTTCAATAATTCAGGGTTTTATTCTGTGCTGAAAGTATGAACCATGACTGAAGTAAGAATTTTGAGCAGCTTATTAGTGAGTTTTGTTCTGGTTGGTCATTGGTGCTCTCAACCTTTTCTCGAGAATTCTTCAGATTATAAAGTTTTCTGAAATCATGGTTTGAATGGAAAGAAAGTGATGTGTTCAGATTTGTACTTACCATTTTAAATATCTGAACTTCTGACTCCTAGTGTTTCCAGCTTTGTACGCAAAACTACTGAAAAGATTGGCACACTTCATATAAGCCCTGATGCTAGAGGAAGGCAAGAAGCAAAGGATGATGAGCAGCTGCAGGAGTTGAATGTTAATCTGGAAGCACCTCCCCAGGAAAAGAAAGAGTGAGTGCAAAAGTTACCTTTTCTTAGCAGTTGCATTTGCTGAATATTCTGAGGATAGCAGAAAAAGCGCTGTTTTAGGTAGAACAAGGAGTTGCCTTCATTACTATGGTGGGTTTCACTGGTTCTCCCTGACTCCTTTCCTAGAAGCAGATTAGGCAATGAACACTTCTGAGGGGTGGAGCACACAGTCTCCACAGTGCTGTAATGACTAAAGAGCATGAACATAGTGTATTCAGCAGTTCTTATACAGTGTATCTGTGATGCTAGTTATAGTTACGGGCATGAGTCCAGCAGTTCATTTCCTGTCCTTTCTGAGTAGGGGGGTAAACACTTAGCTTCCTGAAAACATTTTTCTATTTTGTTTTTGTTTGTCTGGCTTATGTCTGTTGGTTGGGTTTTGTTTTGTGTGGGTTGAGTTGTTGTTGGTTGGGTTTTGTTTGCTTTTAATAATGGTAGCTTTAAAATGCTGAACTTCTTCAATGGTTGTCTAATTCATACAGAGCTAAGTTATTTTGTATTCCAACATTCTGCTAATTTACCATTTTGGACTAACTTTGATAACAGGCATGATACTGACGTTTATTCACTACCTGCAGAAATCCACTGTAGAAGGCTGCAAAAGTAGTACTACGGGTTTGCTTTTCATGGCTATTCATAATTTCTGTTGAGCTGTTCCTTCTTTAGAAATCAAAGGTTGTGTGTTGTTTTTTTTTTTCTTTAATGAAGGAGTTAATGTTGTTTCCTCACAAACTTAAGGAAATTTGTGAGGAAATTCCTCATTTAAATTATTGAAGATAATCATAGAATGGTTTGGGTTGGAAGGGACCTTACAGATCATGCAGTTCCAATCACTCCCCGCCGCTGTTTCCCCCCGCCCCGGGCATGGTGGGGTTGAAACTAGACCAGGTTGCTCAAAGCACCATTCAACCTGGCCTTGAACACAGCTTCTCTGGGCAACCTGTGCCAGTGTCTCACCATGTTATACTAAAGAATTTCTTTGTAATGTCAAATCTAAATCTATGTTCTAATACTTCAGATAAGACTGAAATTAATGTGTTTTTTCTAGGTTAGAACCACAGAGTTGCCAGCTTCCAGAGGAGGATCATCTAAGAGATCTCAAGGCTGCAACAGCAGAAGCTATGTAAGCAGGGAGACCTTTTAGTGTATAGATACTGGGTTTTGTTAGAAAAATTATATTTTTATTTTTTTTTCTTAATTCATTACATACATGTAAGTGTAATGCTCTTAATGTCTATTAACATAATCTGAAATTATCTCATTTGGTTAGTTGTTTCCCCTGTTTAAAGCTGAGCAAAACCCACTAAAGGTTTATTTAGGCACTCAAATGTTACCTTTTTGTTCTAACTGGAAGCATAGTTTAAAAAAAAAAAAAACAGAGCCAAACCCATGTAACAAACAAAAATCCATTCTGAAAGAAACCTTGGGGAACTTGGAATGTACTAAGATCAAAGTAGATAGCTTGAGTAGCTTAAATTCTGTTTGATGCACTCAAACCCACAAAACCCCAACTAAGTCAAGTTTAGGAGTATACTTTGAATTACACAAAATACACATATTACTTAACTTGTGACATAACTATTAAGCAAATTAGCAAACTTCTTTTTTATGCTTCAGAGCCAAACTCCAGGATCCCCTGGTTTTGTTAGAACCACAGTGTATGAGAATGGTTTTACAGGAATGGCTTGTCTGTCTAGAAGAGAAGTTTGGCAGCAAAGAGCGTTCTGCTTCCACTGTCAAGAACCACAAGACTGTGTGTGCTGAAGAACAGAGTGCAGTTCTGCAAGAAAACCTACGACTAGGTCCAGCTGATGGAGACCCAAAAGACAAAGAATGGAGCAGTATCTTGGAAAACTACACTGAAAAGGAAAATGCTGAAGAAACTTGTGTAAGCAAGGCCATGTGTGAAAATAGTACTGATTTTAAGGGACCTTTGGACTGCGGCTTTCAAGTGTCTCTTCCATGTGTCATAGAACCAGATGTTCAGAAAGATCTTGTTGAGTTGACAACACTGTGTTTTGAGATGTCTGTGTTTTCTTGTGGAAGTGGTGATGCTGAGGAAAGTTCTGATGGGAGTCTGCCACTAGCAGCTTCATGGACCTTGGCTTGTAGATTTATGCGAAGCTACTTCTTTCTTTTGGATTTAAAAAGACTAAAGCAATGTATTATAACCATACATGCAAACAGTCCTAATGTATGGGAAACATACATCGCAGGCTTGAAAGGTAACTAATGACAATTTTATTACTGGTAAACTGAAAGTAAGACTGCTTAGGAGAAAAAAATCAAGAAGCTCGAAGACAGTCCCATTTGTGTCTGCAAATTTTCCGTCTGCAGGTGTAGTGTGGGAGGGGGAGGATGGCTGGTGTGTGAGAGGTTTTGTTCCATTTTTGGTTTATTTGGTTGGCTGGTTTTCCCCCCAAAGGCTAACTTAAGAAGAATTGCAGTTCCTCTCTGACATTTTGCAGTTCTGAACCTTGTAATTTATATGGAGCTTATTGATTGAATGCTGTAGTGATTACAGACCAGACCTAGTTAAAAACAAATGTGCTTCAAAGAGCAAAGCATCTAAATTAGAATCAGATGTTTGTGGAAACAAAGAAGAAGTGAGGGGAGGGGCTTTGGTATTTGCACTGGAAACAGAAGATTCTTTAGCTTCTAGAGAAATAGGGTTAAAGTTAAACAAAACTGAATGGAGTAGATGGTTCTGTGCAAATGAGTGCCTTATGATCACTCCAGACTTCCTTTGTCCACGGAAATCATTTCTGATCTTTTTGATGCCTCTTTAGCTTTATTAAACCAAAGCTTCCTGATTATGTTGGAAAAGAGAACTTTGTGGTCTACATTCAGCTTCTGCTTTATGCATTTTTTACAAAAGTGAATTAAAGTCTTGGCATTGATTTGGTGCAAACAGTAGTCGAACAACAGTATCTTGTTTTCAGGGTTGGCATCTAATATTTGGGTTTATGGGAATCTGTTCACTATTTGGACTTCAACAGCCTTAGAAGTGAAAGTAATGTATGTGTTCCTAGTTTGTTCCCATTTTGATTGTTCTTGTTGCCTGTAGATTGATACCTGCATTTCATCAGGATGGAGGTTCATGCTGAATTCTACATTCTGTGAAGTCAGTGTCCAAGCTGAAGTTTTTATTTATAGAGGCAGATTGTAAAATATGAAAAACTGCTGCAGATCTGCATTATATTCAGCAAGCCATAAGTCCTGCAGTGGGCTGGGGTTTGGTTTTGGGTTTTTTGTTTTATTTTGGTTTTTTTTTGTTTGTTTGGTTTTGGTTTTTTTCCACACAAGAGAAAAATTAACATCTTAGAAGTCTAAAGAAAAGGAAAATATATCTAGAGTATTATTCTGTGGCTTAATCATATCATTTTGTAACTGCAATTTGCTGTAAGCACAGATGAGTGATGTCAATTTCTATGAAATGAACATGTAGGATCTGTTCACTTGTTAGCTAGAGTTCCATGAAAGTAGGGGTACTCTTGTCCTTATGCTTAGCAACAGCTCTGTGTGTGTGTGAATTACAAAACACCAACTTGCCCTGATCTTGTAACTTGTGCGCTGATTTATTTCAGAACTAACTTGTCATAGCCCAGTGGCTTTAGCAATGGAAAATGAAGATATGTTGAAAATACTGAAACAGCTGCATGACCTGGGGCCTTGGGATGATAGCCCGCTCTTACTGGTACATGCTCAAAGGTTTGTAGCTAAGTGGGTTTTGTTTGGTTAGTTTTCTTTGGTTCACTGAATTTTTCATGAAGCTCTCTGGGAATCTTTTAAAGAGATCAACTTTAAGTGCTATCTTGAACTTGCAAGAGATCTTGGAAAATTATAACTTGCTGTTTGTCCTCTCTCTTTAGGCTTTATGAAAAATTTGGGGAAACAGCTCTTCGGCCCTTGATCAAGTTCCACCCCTCCCTCTTGCCCTCTGATATCAAACAGCTTTGCAGGAATGATCCAGCTCACTTTTTAGCATATTTAGATAGTCTGGTGAAATCAAAGCCTGAGGATAAAAGGTAAAGGGAATACAGAATCTTTTTAATCTGTCTGCTGTCTTAATTATGTAGCTGTGGGGTTTGTTTGGTTTTGGCTTTTGGAGGCTTTTTTAACTCTTCCTGTATCTATCTTGATGTTCTTCAGCAATAGATTCCAATTCATTCTACCAGTTTTATTTGTTCTCAGTGTTGGTTTTTTGTTGTTTTTTGTTGTTTTGTTTTGTTTTCTTAGATTAGATGCTAGTTTTAAAAGGGTTTTTCTAAATAATGCTTGCAGTGGAGCTGACTATTTTTGGTCTAAGGTCAGACAGCATTCTTAAAACAACCCCTAGGTGAACCCAGCCTGCAAACTGAATGGCTTTTTGTGGTCCTCTCCATTTCTAAAAATATAAATCATTCCAAGCTTTTCCATATTTCGTATTATCTCTTTTGTTTCTTCCTTTTTTTTCTTTTGCCCACACACAGTCTCTGCTCCTCCATGTCTGGTATATTTAAAACTGGCATTTTTTTTCCTGTGTTGTGTTTTCCAGGTCATCTCTCCTTAGATCTCTTCTGCAGCCTGAATCTGTACGACTGGATTGGTTGTGCTTGGCAGTTTCTCATGATGCACCACAAAGAACAAATACTGTGGATGCGGAAGGAAATCCCAGGTAAAGCAGGGGTCACCGAAAGTCCTGAGTGCAGCAAAAAGCTTTAATTGGTCTGTAGAATTTTGGCTTAAATTTTGCCTGATAGTTTGGATGTCCCTTAATCCTTGGAGCATTTTCTGTGTTACAGAGTTCAGCAGAAGCAATGAGATGATTAAATAACCTTATTTGTAACACTTCTCAGAGTGACTGCTCTACTGAGACTATACACAATGTTTAATTCACTTTTCTTTCTTCTCATACACCTGCCTTTCTTCTAGAGAGAACATCATGTTCTGAAGGAAAATTATTAATGCTTTAAAACTGAATTTCTCATATTCTAGGCCACGATCCCATTTGTTTACATGGGGCTACAGCCAGCTCATTCTGCTTTTGATTAAACTCCCAGCTAACTTTGCTACAAAAGAAAAGATGACTGACATCTGTAAATCACATGGGTAAGAAAAAGCTTAGTGATTCTTGATTAGCTAGTGTTCTGACCCCAGAAAGATACAAATAAAAATGACCCATCTGCTTCTTACTTGGACAAGTTTTACTTAAAAACCTATCCTGTTTTGAGTGTTCAATTTAAGTACCAAATACCCTTTTTGGTTAAGGGGTATTCCTGTGTCCCCACTCTGCAGTGATTTCTGGCATTCAAGAAATTCAGTTGCTTCTGTCTTCACTGATATTTAAATGAGCATTTATTTATTGTTGACTGTAGTTTAAACTGAGTATTTGATTCCTGGAAATCTCTACTCTCTTATTCAAGATTTTGGACTGGATATCTTTTTCTCTGCCTTGAGCTGGATAGAAGAATAGAAGCCTTTACTAGTATTGCTCATTTGGATGACTTGAGCCTGTTGAATGGAGAAGATGGTTAGTGAGTCTTAAGCTGTGTAATCATATGCGCATAGTACAGGAACTGCCCTTATTATGTTCTGATTTGTCCAAAGTTGAGTTGAATTTCTATTTTTTTTTAAGTGTTTTGGTAGCACTGTGTGGTGCAGCGTATTTGAAACACATTAATGTGTGTAACACTCATATCTTCACAATGTCCTTTGTGAAATCAGTTGTGCTAGAAAATGCTTAAAAGCTAAACTTGGAGTGGTAGGTAGAAGAATAGCTAGCCTCCCTGAACAGTGTGAAACTCCTCTGCTATGCATGCACACACACACAGTTACGACAAGTAAAGCATTTTATAACATGATGGAACTTAAATTCCCAGTAGCCCTAAGATGGACATAAAAACCAGTTTTTGTCTCTTGACCTAATCCAAAGCCTTAAATGCTGAACTATCATGAAGCTTTGTGTGTAGTTCACTGCTGAATCTTTATACCAAGTCAGTCAAGGCAGTACACTTCTGTACACTATTTGCTTGTTGGTAACACTTGTTAAACTTTCACAGAGAAAAACAGAACAGCTAGCTTCCCTTTTTAAGTACAGGTTCATTTAAAAGAGTAGACTCAGAATAATCATTGTTTTACAAATAATGTAACATTCATTTTACATTTAGGTTCCATTCCAGAGACCATAGAAGAATGGAAGTTTCTTCTGCACCTCACACAAAATCACAGCACAGCTTTCCACCACCATGGCCCACAGAATGGGAATGCTGTCAGCAGTGTTAGCCCAAGCTGCCCGGACTGCATCACTGTGGAAAACGTAGCCCTCTTGCTGGCAAAAGCCATTGGCCCAAACCGTGCCTTGCCTCTCTTGCAGGAATGTGGCTTGACACTAGAATTGTCTGAGAGATTTACTGGTGTCTGTGAGATCCTGAGAATTGCTGAGAAAAGGCAAAGGTAAGATGACACATCAACAAAAGATCCACATTATTCATTTTGGATCTTTAAACTCTTTCCAGTTAACAAAAAGATAAAATACTTCACATTTTTATCTCAGATTTTAAACTTAGCTGAAAACTTTTCTGTTATTTAAGAGCTGTGTAGTGTGCGATATAGGCACTTGGAAATGGAAAAAAGAGGAAACAGGAAATTATACATTAAAGGTGTGAAGGAGATAGCTGTCTTGCTGAGTCTTGCACAGACTCTGATCTTGCCTATCCCTTCCAGAGAAGGCATGCATGGTGATGTCATGATATTACTTCTGAAATACAGTCAGTTGTCATAGCTTAACACCAGCTGGCAACTAAGTACCATGCAGCTGCTTGTTGACTCCCTACATTTGCAGTGGATGGGGAGAAGAACTGGAAAAAAAGTTAAAAACCTGTGGGTTGAGATAAGAACAGTTAGAAATAAAGTTAAACATAATATTAATACTACTCGTAACAGTAATAATGGAAAGGGAAGTAACAGAGAGTGAAAGCAAAAAAAACCCAACAAACAGTATTGCACAGTACAGTTTCTTACCAACCCTGATTGATGCCACACCCATCCCTGAGCAGTGATCGGTCCCTTCCTGCAAAATCCCCTCCTGTTTATATACTGGGCATGACGTGCTGCGGTGTGGAATACCCTTTTGATTAGTTGTGGGCCAGGTGTCTTGTCTCTGCTCCCTCTTGGCTTCTTGTGTCCCTTCTCACTGGCAGAGCATAGGAAACTGAATAAAGTCCTTGACTTGTTGCTAAGAAGTGCTTACATTTAAAACATGAGTGTGTTATCAGCATTATTCTCTCACTAAATCCAAAGCACAGGTCTGTACCAGCAGCTAGGAAGAAAATTAACTGTCCCAGACAAAACCAGGACACATGTTTTTGACAAACTTTTCTTTAAAATGCAAACAAAATCTGTTTTTCTTTCTGTTGTTTTGTTTTTGTTTTTTTTTTTACTGTCTGACTTCTGGTCTTGTTTTTTTTCCCCTTTAATTGCAGAGCGCTGATTCAGTCCATGTTGGAAAGGTGTGACCGGTTTTTGTGGTCTCAGCAAGCATAGGAAACAGCTTGGAAAACTCTGGGAACATTTTTTTACTGTAACAATTGTATATTAAAATGCCTCTTAAACTTAACAGGCTCTTAAAGAAAGAAACCCCTGTCTAAAAGTTCAGTTGTATTGAGCCACTCTCCATCTGGCAGGTATCTGCCCAGCAACTGCTGAGGGTTCTTCCTTATGTGTTTGGAGATGAGTTTTGAACTGCAGAACTTAAATCAAAACAAGCCCATATTTACCTTGAAATTAAGCTCACAGGTTTCTGAGATGGAAATTCCTGAATTTATTTTCTGAGTTTGTATGACTGAAGTGTTAATGATATGAGCCCAAAGTATTAAATTATGATATATAAATCTTTTTGTTTCCAAACATAAGAAACCATTCTTCAGAAACATCTAAGCCAGTATTTGCTTAATTTTCCTCTAAATGGTATTTACATTTTTAAGTTACTGTAGAACTGCTTGTTATTCTAGCTGGTTTATTCTCTTCTTAAATTATATGGACTGGTTTTGGCTCTTTGAAATGTATGAATTAAACCAAGTTTTAAAATAGGAGGGAAATATGTTTCAGAAGTGAATTAATGGTTAAGAATGCTGATTAACAGAACTTGTTAAATGAACTCAATGTTAAACTATAAGCGTGGTATTTCCAAATTGCCCCGTTCTGCCTGTGCAACATCACTGTAGACGTTAGTTGTGATGGTTCAACAAATCTCAGGTCAGTGGAATTAGAATCACAAACTCGTTTAGGTTGGAAAAGGCTTTTAAGATCATTGAGTCTAACTGTAAACGGCCAAGTCCACCATTAAACCACATTCTTAAGGTGCCACATCTACACTCCAGTACCTTAACCATGTCCTTGGGCACCGTTCCAGTGCTTGACAATTCTTTGGGTGAAGGAATCTTTCTTAATCTCCAGTCTAAACCTGCTCTGGTGCAACTTCAAGCCCTTTCCTCTAGTCCTATCACTTGGGGAGAGTGCAACACCGACTTTGCACCAGCCTCCTTTCAGGTACTTGTAGACAGCAGTAAATGTCTCCCTTCAGCCTCTTTTTCTCCAGTCTAAACAACCCTAGGTCCCTTAGCCACTCCTCATAAGCCTTGTTCTCTAGACGTTTTGCCAACTTTGTTGTCCTTCTGTGGACATGCTCCAGCAACCCAATGTCTGTCTTGACCAAAAGTGAACACAGCACCCAAGGTGCAGCTTCACCCAGTGCAAACTACAGGGGAGATGATCACAGCCCTGGCCCTGCTCGCTATGTTATTTCTGGTAGAAGCCAGGATGCTGTTGGCCTTCTTGGGCCCACTGCTGGCCCATATTCGTCTGGCTGTCAAACAACAACCCCAGCTCCTTTTCTGCAGGGGCAGTTTTCCAGCAACTCTTCTCCAAACCTGTAGCGTTGCGTGTGACCCAAGCACAGGCCTCAGCACTGAGCCTTAATGAACCTCATACAGTTGGCCTTCACCCATTGATCCAGCCTGTCTGCATTCCTCTGTAGAGCCTTCCTACCCTCAAACAGGTTAACGCTCCCACCCAGCTTAGTGTTGTCTGTGAACTTGCTGAGGGTGCATTTGATGCCCTTATCCAGATCATTACTAAACAGAACCGGCCCCAGTCCTGAGCCTTAGGGAACGCTACCTGTGACCAGCCACCAACTGGATTTAACTCCATTCACCACCACTCATGGGGCTCAGCCACCCAGGCAGATTTTTACCCATCAAAGAATATGCCCATCCAAGCCATAAGCAGACATTTTCTCCAGGAGGATGCTGTGGGAGAATGAAGGGTGTCTGTCCAGGGCTTTTCTGAAGTTCAGGTAAGCTTTGGCATTTTACATGGGTGCTGTCAAAGAACAAAGAACTATGCTTTGTACCACCACTCTTTCTGCACTTAATACATATTTCAGTAAGTTTCTTTCCAGGCTTCGAGTTGTGGGCCTCTTTACTGTTGGACTCCCATTTTCAGCAGAAAGCCATGGTGTCTGGTCAATATCTGATTTTCACAAGAAAAAATTCATGCATTGAAACGATATTTTGTTAAAATCCATAATTTTGTCATGAAATTACTTGAGAGTATTTCTTTATAAAGAATCTTTTTACATAGTCTTATAACACTTGTAGTGCTGCAAAATAATGTTTTTATTTTTATGTAAAATAGGTCTTAGTAATACAACTTTCAGACTTCTGAAAGGTGCAGTCTGACTTTTTCATCTCAATTGCAAGAAAGAGGGTTGGTTACTTCATTAGAGGAATGAAGCTAAAGGGAGGCAGTTAGTGGCAGGCTTTCATCTGTTAATGTAGCTGGTGGGAAAGCCAATATATAACTACTTCTAAAGAAAACTAAATCTTTGGAGTTTGGATTTTAATACTGCAAACAGCATGGATCCTTCTATTGGAAATACCTCATGCTCTTACAGTAAGACTTAGGAGCCAGGCACCTGTAGTGTGTGGTGTAGTTAACATGGATGAGATGATGCTGGTGCCTGTTCTCTTGCCTGCTGGATGCACATGCTGTTATTTCCATGACTTGCACTTAAATAACTGTTTCATTCAGTGTGTGAATGTAATACCTTTTAGCTGAGTACTCATGTTGCCCTCCTTATGGGAATTCAGCTGGCTTTCCAAGAGTGTATCTGGCTTATCTCTTTAAGCCAACGGTTCTACTTCATTTGCTCTGTGTAGTTTGTGTACGCAGCAGTCTCTTTTGTGCTTCTGTGGATTTTTTGTACACTTGGTTAACTTTGTGTAAGGGTTGAGGATTTTTACAATTAATGTTACTTTCCATTCAGAGCTTTTTTAAAAATTTTGTCTCAGAACAGTCAAATAAGTAACAATGGGAAGCGTTTCTTCAAATATGGTGGCTAAAGTGAACTTTTTTTAATGAGTTCAGATAACTTGGCTGTCAATAAAGTGTAAAGATATACTTTCTGAAGAAGAGTTGGAAAATCACTTGTTCCATGTGTTTTCATCTCATATGGGTAAGGTGAAGGGACTGTAATGAGATAGTTGTTTGTTCAGAAGTTACAGTTGTACAGAGCAGTGCCCTCACCCTAAAGCTACAGCCCTACCAGCTCTTGGCAGCTGTGCATACACCACTGACACTTTAAGCCAGCCTGTGCTGGAGCAGGTTTGCTCCAGCTCATCTTTGGGTTTAGTGACTGACTGTTGGTGGAGGGAACCCTTGAAAATCAGAGATTTTCAGGGGGCTTTGCTCTGAACAACTTCAAACACAAGCTGTATTGGTTTTGTTGTTTCTACACCTCTCCCGCCCCCCGCCCCCCCAAAAAGTCTCATACCTACCTCCAAATGTTATTTCACTGTTAGAATCATCATCAAAACCTATGGGGAAATCAATTTTATTTAAGATAAGCATCTGCATATGCAATCTGTTTCTTGAAGAGGGGCAAGTCTGCAGTCATTCTATACATCTATAAGCCTGAGTTCAGTGCTAGATATTTCATACAGCAGCATGGCAAAACTCCCTGAAGTGAATTACTGCCCTTGTAACCTTAATGTGCTGTTACTTCCCAGAATAAGCAGTAACTGCATCTGTTATTGTGCCCAAGCTGGGAATTCACCTCATCCCCTTGCTCAATCTGAAATTTACTTGGATTGTGAAATACCTACATTGCAGAATGTTTACGGAATGTAGCTTGCATTTATACGTATTTAGAATTAAAGGGTAATCAGTTTGAGGTTGCTTTTTATTTTAGCTATATCAGAACGTACACTATAGGTGTTATGTTCACGCAGTGTACGCATGCAGCCCCTTTAAGTACTAAGCCAAAAAGGAACATCCCATTGAAACCCTTCTATGTGCTCAGGGGCGGCTTGCCTATTTGTGTTGCAAGAGCGAAAGTTTTTGGCTGCAGCTTGTTTCTGTGGGCCAAGGGCTGTGACCTGGAATGCAGGCCAGAAGGATACTGGAAAGCAGTGCTGGGGCACAAAGTGTGCTTTATCCAGTTACTATAGGGAGGTCCAGCACTGTCACTGCTGCTGCCTTCCTTGTTGGAGACCAGTTAAGGGAATGCAATCCAAAATCTTCTAAAGATCTCCTCCAGTGCCTACCTTCTTGCAATTATCTTCATGTTTGTGCTGTTTGCAAGGAAATTTGGGTTTGGAGAAAATGGAAAACACCTCAGACCACATCATAATACTCAGATGTATCCCTTATGGTTCTAAATGTCTGAGCTCTTGTAGGGAAACTTTCAAAGTCAGTTTTGAAGGCAATGCTTTGTTCTATGTCCCCAGGCAAAATAGCGTATGTGTTAGTGAGCCTATACTCCAACTTATAGGAATAATTTTACAGAGGGTTTTTTGTGTGTGTGTGTGTTTGGTTTTTGTTGTTGATTGTTTTGGTGGTTTTTTGGTTTGTTATTTTTTTGTGTGTGTTTTTTTTTTTCTTTGTTGTTTTTGGTTGTTTTTTTTTTTGTTTCGTTTGGTTTGGTTTGTTTTTTAACTCAAAACCAAAGAGGTGAGCAACAGGGACTACTTGTAGCCAACAGAAAAGGCACTTGAGCTGATATGTACTGTAAGGGCATAAGTCATCACTAGGTCATGAGTAGCATTGCAGCAAAGCACAGCACTCCATTCTCTGCAGTAACTGAGCTGTTACACTGTTAAATATCAGTATCATATGTGGTGGGGACAAAATTACATGCCTGGTCTGCTGTGTTTTGCGAGGTTTCCTTGTCTATTGGGTTAGGGTTTAGATTCTTGTCTCAAATTGTTCCATTCAGAGATAAAGCGTAGTAGATAACATCGGTCCTGACACTCTAGGCCCGTGGAAAATGTTGCTCCTGCTCTTAAGCTAAATTCTTGTTTGAAGTCCAGTGATGCCCAAGGAAGTTACCTGCTGGCACTTTATTAGCTGACTTGGTTAGTGCCCCTCTTGTACCTCATATCCCTGCCCTTCATCTCCAGCAGCTAATAGTTTGAAGTGACAAAGTTGTGAATGGGCCAACTACCCATACCTCTTCTGTGGACAGTTTAAAAAAGCTCTCTTAGACTTCTGCGAGAGACTGATCTGAAATAAGACTCCACTGACCCTTGTGTCAAAGATAGGTGAAATCACATCTCAGTTTCTCATACCAATCTTTTGTCTCAGAGATTGGTGGAAGGAGTTGAGGTAAGACTCTTCCACCATGCAGTGTTTGAGGGATGAGTGGGAAAGAGCTGAGATAAGACTCTTCCATCCATTACCTCAAGGCATGGTGTGAGGAATTGCTGTCCATTATCCCAAGAACTGCTGCAGATGTGTGTGCAGACAGGTGCAGTTGAAGAGCTGGCTGCAAGACCAGGGAAACTGGTCCACCAGGAAAATGTAATATGTGACATGAAGAACAGAGGTACTCCCCCCAACTCATTATAAAAGAGGGAAAAGCTAATCACCAAGAGGCACATCACCAGGGAGCCATTGCCATGCAGATGACTCCAGAAGGACACCTCCGTGAGGACACTCTCCACTGATGACTACTACAGACTCTGAGGGACACCCTCCATGAGACATCGCCATGAGGGCAACTCCATGAGACACACTCCACAGGGTACCTTCAAGGGGGCGACTCCAGAAGGATGCCTCCACCTCCGACAGACTCTTGGGGGACACTCTGCTCCAATACTGACTACAAACCCTGAAGAACTCCCACCAATTACGATGATGACAATGGGTCCCTGGGACACCGCTGGATCCACAGTGTGACTTTTTCTCTCTCTCTGCACCCCAAATCCTTGCTTCATTTTTCTACCTTTTTTCCAATCTGTCCTATCACTATCCCCTTTATTACAATAATTTCCCTTTTTTGTAGTAACTGTTTTATTAATAAACTTACTAATTGATTATGGTACTTGACCTCGTTTGTGTCTTAATTTCACTCTTGGGATCACAAACTGAAACAGGGTCTGGCACTGGGCTTTTCTCCAGTCGGACCCTGACAACTTCTAAAATCATGGATGAGACCATGCAATGTGGAGACATTCTGCACATCGATTCTACAGTGCAACTGCACTCAAACCTAGAGCTTTCTGCAGGGAAAATGGTGTGTCAGTTATTAACCAAGGGAAGTGAGCAGCAAGCATGCTCATAAGTAGAAAGAGCACAGTGGGTGCTCAAACTGAACCATGTCAGCAGGGCCTTACTGCTTAAAATCTAGCAGAGTTGTGGCTGCATGGATCTGAACTTCCCCTTAGGTATAGTATTTACCACTGCATCAAAAAATCTCTTTAGTTTAGTAAACTTGGGCCCTACTGAGCTGAGAGGAACAACAGGATGGCTGGAAGTCCTTCAAGAGGGGTTTGTGAGAGCAAGCAAAGGCACAACGAACAATTCAGGCCTCCCTTATTGTGGCATGAGTGTGTGCTATCCTAAAGCATTATCAGCAGGGACAAATGGAGTTAAGGGCAACACTTCAAGTTTTTCATTCCATCAACTCTGAGATCCATCACATTATCCCATCATGGGAATTTCACTTGTCAGTTCCTGCAGCAGTTCTGGTAATGCAACTGGCTGTTCCTTGTGCACAGATGCAGATCTGATCTTGTGCTTTATGATACAGCACAGATGATCAGGCACCTACTCCTCTGAGCTCTGTCCAGCACAAGAGCTGCACGGAAGTGTGACCCTTAAGCCAAGTGTAACACTTCAAGCAGACAGAACACTAGAGTCTTGAGGCAGCTGCTCAGCCTGCTTGTTATGAAGAGCAAACAGTCTCGTGGACAGCTGACAAAACACCACATACTTTCTAAAAATTGTGTAACAGGAACCATGAGCTTTCAGTAAGGACAAGGACAGGTTTACTGTAATTTCTCTGTTGGAAGTGGAGTGGTGGTGGGGAATTCCGAACCAATGAAAAATATCCTTTCCAGTTTCCTCTTTTGAGGGGTTTGAATTCCTTATAAATACTCTCTCTGAATCTGACACACAATACAAGCCTCATTTCCTTTGGCTTTACCCTTCTGCAGTGGTGAGTGATATTCTGTATTTGTGAGCTCCTTGAATTTGTTAGCTAGTATTTTGGAACAGGGCTAATGCTTTAGCATGTGGGGTTTCTCTGTATTCATTATAGGAGCAGCAGGGAATGCTAAAATCCAAGTTCCTCATGTCCATCTGCCTCTGTGGCAGAACTGAGCTTGTGGTCATACAGAGGGCATCATTCCTTGGGGTTGGAGGGAGTGGGCTCCTGGGCTAGCCACCAGCACTGGGGCAGTTGCATGGGCGCAGCTATGGGTCTGATGGATGCTGGGGCAGCAGCCTCTCAAACGTGCTCCAGAACTCTTCATCTCTCTGACTGTCTTACAACTCTGTGTCAGGCTTGGGCCAGGAACCATGAGGCTCTGTGTCTGCTTCGTTCTGCTCTCCATTATTCTCTGTGCAAGTGCTGACTCACCACTAGCCCGAGGTGGACGATTTGTCTGGGATGCACTGGGAGGTAAGCTGCTGTTACTCCTCGGAGCTGAGAGGACCACAGCTCCACATTAGCAACCCTGCTGTTTGCTGCTGCTGAAGGCCTTGATCATCCCCCACAGGTCCTTTCCATGGGCACACCCCTGTGCAAAGGCCAGTGTGGAGAAGTGCTTCTCTGTGTTACTGCTCCTAGGGTCTTTCAGTTCCTGGCTGAAATGGTACTTAACTATTTCTGGGATGACACTTTAAAGTCAACATCATGGCTGTTTCTCTGCTTTGCTCAGGGGCACGGGATATGTACAGAGCATACCGGGACATGCGTGAGGCAAATTACAAAGGTGCTGACAAGTATTTCCATGCTCGTGGGAATTATGATGCTGCCAAAAGAGGACCTGGTGGTGCCTGGGCAGCAAGAGTGATCAGGTAATGGAGCATATTTGTGTCATTAACACAGGTTACTAAGGATCTAGGCGTTCCAGTTAGAGTGACATCCTTTTTGACTTGTACTCAGCTTTTGACCTAGGACAGTGGAGGGGAAGTAGTTAATGTCTGTGGAGCCTGTCTCTATAGGAACGGTGTCTCTCCTTCACATGAGTGTGAACCTTTCTTCTTGTCCTCCTGAGATACCTTACCTCTGTGTTTCTGGTGATAAGGAGCTCTTTCCTTGTGTCCCTGCTCATGGCAGGGGGTTGGAATTAGGTGATGTTTAAGGTCCTTTCCAACCCAAACTATTCTGTGATAACAGTTATGGATGCCACTGTGGTTCTCAGACAAGGACTGAATATATGCTTGATCTCACTTTGAGAAGCACTGTGGAAAAGCTAGTTTTGCATGACTGAGGAAATCAAGACAGTGTGGTTACATACTGATTGGTTTACATGGCCTTTTTTCTTCCTGCTAGTGATGCCCGAGAAAAATGGCAAAGCGATGTGAGTGGCAGAGGTGCAGAAGACACCCGAGCTGACCAAGAGGCCAATAGGTGGGGTAGAAGCGGCGGCGATCCCAACCGCTACAGACCTGCTGGCCTTCCCAGCAAATACTAATGCCAGCCCGGCAGAGCCTCTCTGCTTCCCTGTTACACCTCTTCTCTGCATCCAAATAAAGAGTTTCTCTTGCAAACTGTCCCCCCTCGATGCTGCCTTACCTTGTGGGGTGTGGGGACCTCAGGTCACAGCGCTGGCTTCGAGGGAACCAGGGTAACTGTCACTTCTTGGGGCGGTGTCAGGACATCACGGTGGCTACCGGCGCTGTCAAGGCGCGGCGGTGTCCCTTGGCACTTCGGCTGCTCTGGGAGCACGGGAGCTGCTTTTCCAGCGGCGAGCGGCTTCCACCGTCAGGAACTCGGCCCGGCCGCCGAGCGGCGAGGGCTCCTGACGGCCTGCGGTGAACGCTGGGCCGCAGCCTCCCGGCGTCCCGGCCCGGCAGGAGGCGCTGTGGTGTGCCGCCCAGGCGGCGCTCTCGCCGCGGACGTCTCGTTGGCGCCGGTGAGGTAGTCGTTGTGGTGGTGGTGTGCCGCCATGAACCGTAACCCCTCGCCACCTTCCAGCGAGGTGGAAGAGGAGGAGGACGCGGTGGGAAACACGGTGTACAGTAAACACTGGCTGTTCAGCATCCTCACCCGCCTCATCGAGGTGCGGGCCCGGCGGGGTGGGGGCGCAGGGAGGGAAGAGAGCGGCGGGCCCGGTAGCGGTGAGCGTTTCGCGGGTGTGGTGCGGCTGTTACCGGGTCCACGGGGATATACACAAGTAGGCTTCCTGCTTGTGTGTTTAGGTTTTGATTATGGTTTTTATACTCTGACTGAAGGGTTAGGTCGTTGTTAGTGATCCATGGCTTTTCTCGGTAGTTGCGTGCATACTGCCATATCCCCAGTGCACACACACCCCACACCACACCCCCCCCCCCCACTGTTTTCTCTCAGGTCATTAGCCCTGAGAAGACGGAGCCCATCGTAAGTCCCGAGGGAATCCAAACGGAGCTGGACGAGGAGCTGGAGAATGACATTTGTAAAGTGTGGGACATGTCGATGGATGAGGTAGGAGCGATACACGGAAGCCAGACTTCGAGGGTGGTTCATAGCTGGGGGTGGCTTCTGCCCTGTGTGTTCAGAGCCCTTCTGAAAGTGGGAGAAGGCACAGAATTATACAGACTCGGCCAGCTTTCTGATTTTGATGGTACTGATTATTCTGTTTAGGCTGATAGTGTCATGTGAGTTATTACACAGTGCAGGTGTCCTGAACTGGCATCAAGCACTCTCATCACAAAGGCTGCTTTACTAGATGAGCAAGTATGCTGTGTACATTCTTAAACCCAGCACTAGTTTGCAGAAGCAGGCCTTCTGTTGTGTACTAGCTGCTGGGGCCCATGCTGCTGTTTGAGGATGTAAGGCCTATATATCTTTGAATATAAAAGAAACAAGGTGGTCTGTCCCATCTTTCCTCCAATTGTCTAATGGATCCTGCAGTGCTGTTGTTTAGGGTCAGCTGTCTTAAATGGGACCGTATTCACACCTGTTGGTGTTCTACAGAAAATCATGTTCAGGACTTGAACCAAAGCTCAGTGTTACTAGAAAACAGCAGCTTAGCTGTAGCAGGAATTAACTCAGGTCCATAGCCTGTACCTTCATCGGTTTGATTATAGAGATAATATTGAGGCCATCTCTAAATAGGTATATTTTTCCTCTAGTAATTATAATGCATCTTGCTGGTAAGAATGACTGAATGACAAGGAACCTTTTAAAGTTTAGCCAGAGACTTGCAGTGGCAATGTAACATAACTTTTTGGTATTTTTTCTCAACATTCTCAGATGCTGGATCCAGTTCTCAAGTAAGAGATACACATACATTTGTAATTATGATTTTATTTCCTAGCTCTTTGGATATTTTAAATAAATGTGGAAGATGTGTCCTTTGCTCACAAGTAGAGAACTAATCTTGTGTTTTAATATGGTAAAATGTGAAGCAGTTTTACTCTTTTGTATGGTCTGATCAAGTATTAATGGTAATCCCTACCCTGGTTTCATTTTGTATGTCTACATCATGTCACTGTCTGAAAATATGATGTTTGCTGAATTCTAAATTGGTGTCTCTGACCCTGTGTTGAGACGGAGAGCAAAAGACACTAAATGTGACTTTTTGGCCCATTGTATAGCAAATCAATGGCACTCTGAATCATCACAGAGGCTGGCTGATCTTGTTTCGTTGAGAAGCAAGGATTATTGGTATTAACTGTTGGGAAAGAATTGATCTCTTTTAGCGAGTTTGACATCTCTTTGATCCAGGGCTTGTGCTGTTAGAAAAGGTTTGATTTTGCATTTTGAAAATGGAGAAGTCTACTTTTTCCTTCACTTTCTCCACAGGATGTCGCTTTATTTCTTCAGGAGTTCAGTGCCCCAGATATATTCATGGGAATTTTTGCCAAGTCAAAATGCCCTCGCCTTACTGTAAGTATGGTATGTCAAAAAGCTGTCCCATATTAATAGCAGTAGTAGATAGGTGTATACATGCATTTGCACGTAGCTCCTTCCTTCTCTCACTGCATGCTTGGATACCTTAGGGGAACAAGAAGAAAATGCAAAATCAAATTTTAAAATTCTTTTTTTCAGGATTTTTAATAGAGTCTAATCAGTAAGTATTTCAGTGATGCTGAAGCTAATATATGTCATTATGATGGACTAAGTTCATGAAACCTAGTTATAAGGTTTGTTATATAACCCAGGAAAGAGTGCCCTTTTATTTCCTTATTACTTGTTTCAAGATTACTCAACAGAAATGGTCATGAATTTGTTTAGTCAGCCGTACAAAAGTGTGGTGGATTGACCGTGGCTGGACACCAGGTGCCCACCAGAGCTGCTTTATCACTGTCTTCCTCAGCTGGACAGAGGGAGAAAAATACGGTAAAAAGGTTCATGAATTGAGATAAGATCAGGGAGATCACTCAGCAGTTACTGTCACAGGCAAGACAAGACTCAGAGAAATTAGTTTAATTTATAATCAACCAAATCAGAGTAAGATAATGAGAAGTAAAGCCAAATCCTAAAACACCTTCTTCCACCCCTACCTTCTTCCTGGGCTTGACTTTACTCCTGGTTTCTCTCCTTGCTCCCACCCCGAGCAGCGAAGGTGGATAAGAACAGGGGTTGCAGTCAGTTCGTCACGCATTTCTGCCATCACTCCTTTCTTCTCACTCTCTTCCTGTGCTTCCAGCATGTGGTCACTCCCATGGAAGACAGTTCTCCATGAACTTCCAACATAAGTCCTTCTCATGGGCTGCAGTTCTTCACAAACTGCTCCATCATGGGCTCTCCCATGGGGTGCAGTCCTTCAGGATCAGACTGTTCCAGCATAGGTCCTAAATGGGATCAGAAGTCCTGCCAGCAAACCTGCTCCAGTGTGGGCTCTCCACTGGGTTACAGCCTCCTTTGGGCATCCCCTTGTTGTGGCCTGAGATCCTCCATGGTCTACAGGTGGATATCTGCTCCACCATGGACCTCCATGGGATGCAGGGGAACAGCCTGCCTTTCCATGGTCTCCACCACAGATGACAGTGGAATCTCTGCTCCAGCAACTGGAGCACCTCTCTGTTGCTTTAATAATAGGGATGCCAGGTTATCATCAAAACAATATACATAGAATATGCAAGCAAAATTGATTTCAAGATATATTTGCTTTTATGGAACACCTTAACACCTAAATATGTGAGTAGTACCTGTCCTGAGTATATTTTATGCCAGTCTAATGGCATCCTGTAGAAAAGTCTGTATCATCTTGGAATCAGTGCATCAGAAGAACTTGGAAATCAAACTGGAAAATGTCTTTGAATCTCTCTTACCTTTGTCTTACTGTTGTGGAAATGAAATTGTGAACTGTGTTGCAGTTGCCTCATTATACTGTGTTTTGACTTTTCAGGAAATCTGTGTGGGAATATTAGGAAATATGGCCTGTTTCCAAGACATATGCATGTCCATTAGTAAAGATGCGAATCTTGGGTAAGTGTGTATGTGCTATATATATGCATGGTGCTGCTTTTCTGGACTCAGAATCATAAAATATATGTTAAAGAAGGAACTAATTTTGCCTGCCATCCCTCGTGTTTATTCACACCTTTTAGGCTGACCATGTTTGTGTAGGAAGTGCTCAGTGAAATTAAAAAAGGATACAGACCACTTTTTTTTGTTTGTTTGTTTTTAATCAGCAGTGAAGTTGAATCTTTAATTTCTAAGTTGGGTAATCTTGAAACACTGGAAATGTGTGCAGTCAGGAAAAGCTGGGTTTAACCTCAGAAGATGACTACACCTATGAAATTCACCTTTTTGTAACCTTTTTTTAAAAAAATACATTTTATTAACTTTTATCTTGTGTTTTCTCTTTAAAGCCAGGTGTTACTGCAACGTTTGTGTGATACAGACTCCCCAACTCTTCTGGAAACAAGCAGGTAGGACATCTCAGAACTTGATGCATCATTAGTGTAGCTCTGCTATGTTCTGAGGCCTGGTAAGAAAACTGACAATGTTTCTGTCACATCGTTCTCACTATTTTGGATTTGCACTTGTACAGCTAAAATGAATGAACTGGCTTCTGATTTGTTAAGTGGGCAATTCTTGTCTAGGTTGTTGTTAACTTGCCTCTCCCAGCCTGAGGTGGCCAATATCTGGGTTGAGAGAATCCGAGAGAATCCTTCTGTGTATGACTGTGTGTGCTTTATCATGTCCAGCTCTACAAATGGTAAGTTGCCAGAACAAGCCGGGAATTAGTGGGTGTTTGCAGAAAAAAAAACCCACCCAAACAAACCACCAAAGTGTGCAGTTTCAAAGCCAGATTTTCAACTGGGAGTACAGAATTTCAAATAAAGCTCATGAATTTAAAGGATACCAAAATAAACTTGTCCTGCCTTTGTAGGTTCACAGATATACCTAAAACCAACTGGGGGAAAAAAAAATAGAGGACAAAAAGCGCTGGGGGGGAATCAAAATAAGTCTCATAGAAGAAATAACTATTTGTCACAGTAAAGGAAAGGACATTGTCCTCATTCAGGAATTTGCAGATGTCATTTCTGATCTTGAAAAAGACCTTATTTAAATTTCTTTTTCTTTTTTTTTTTTTCAAAATCAGTTATGTATGTATGTGTA